CTAGACTTCTAACAGGAATTGTCAATAGTCAGTGCTACTAGAGCAAGCACGAACTGGAACAGCCACAGCACAAGCACACTACACTTAGCAGTTAGCACTAAACAAGGCCCTATATACTCGCACTAAATACTGAGGGGTGTTCACGGGCACCACAAACTACTGAGTGCGGTGTGTGCGGTGTGTGCAGCAGGCGTGGGGATAGGGGATGGGTAGGCGGTTCTGACGTCACAGCTGTGTGCAGTGGACGGTCCACTGTGGCCAGTCCCGACCGGCCACAGCGATCTCATCGCTGTGTGCAGTGACAGAAGGATGACGTAGGGACGCAGTGGGCGGAGCTTGGAGGCTGTGTGCGGTCCGACCGCACAGGGCTTGTAAACAGCCCTCTGATGTCAATGGGAAACTTCAAACTGAGCCATTACTATGGGCCTGTTCCAGCGCCTCCAGAAACCTCCAGAAACCTCCAGAAAGCTCTAGAATCCTCCAGAGAGCGTTCCAGCGCCTCCAGAAAGCTCCAGAAAGCTCTCGCCAAAGCTCCAGAAACCTCCAGTAGCCTCCAGAGAGTTGAGAGGTCCAAATTTCTCTGGAGGCTCTGGTCTACAATTATGGCGCACATGTGACAATCACGAATGTAAACAAAGGACATCTGACTGATTATTTTACAACTTGAATGTAAAGAAAATTACATTGCTATAATTTTATTTATCTTTTTAACTAAAATTGAAAACAAATTTTGCGTTTCAAGAGAGAACAATCGTCATTCTTTTGGTATCTATGACGCCAATCTCCAGAAATCTCCAGATTGCGTTCCAGCGCCTCCAGTAAAACCTCTGGTAGAGCCTCCAGTCAAGAATTTCTTCTGGAGGCGCTGGAACAGGCCCTATATTATCCCTCCAACTGACACAAAGGCATATCAATCTGAATCAATTTCAAAGGACCAATATTGATATCAAGAAAGATGAATCAAAATTATTAAGCATGGGCTGTAAATCAGCATGAAAGTGATGCATGGGAGTGATCACGATCTCGACGAGATCTTGATCTCTTAGCGGATCGAACGACATGTCACATGAGTCGGTGGTAGATATTTTAGCAACCTAGCCTCAAATAAAATCCCACAGCATGGCATGACCTATACTTTGCACCAAGTTGGTTGCAAATATTTCTAGATATGCAAAGATAACCTAGCGACGTGCTAGCGACCTTGCTGTCGCACGACCTATATCAAAATCGAGAGACCTCGAGGATAATCGAGGGACGACGGTGAAAACAGGGCGCCTGGGGCGATTTGATCAAGGTTCGTGAAATTTACACGTGACGTTTGGGATATAGAAGGCCCTTAAAGCGGGAGAAGTTCCAAATGTCACGTGACTAATATGCCCTCCGTATGTTTTAGGGCCTTGCCCACAGTGTATATGCCTTGCCCTCCGGCGCCCTGTTTTCACCGCATATTTACGTCTGGACAACGAGTTGCGTTGGAGAGGCCGGAAATAGTGGCGATTTCAGGACCGCCAGAATGGACCGTCATTGGAATGATTCTTTTTTAAACCGTGCACTGTTTTCGGCCGGAATTTAATAGTTACTACAAAATGTTTTGTGATTACGTTTCCAGCAAGAATGAATGCCATCAGGGCTAAATTTTTACTACTTTTGCATTTTGTCAAGAAGCATATAGTGTTGTTATATTGCAGTTTTAGCGCGTTTGTTACAAAATATGAAGCGAATAAGCGTCAGTGTAATTCATCAGTGTCAGAAATTGACTTGAGGGGAAGCTATGCTAACTGCTTTTGTCCATCCACTAGAAGTTTTTAAATATTTTGCTTTGTGTATTCCAAAAGGAGAGGGAACTATTTTATTTTTCGACATGTTAAATTTTCAAGGCAGTTTACAAACAAGCATTTGGTCTTTCTCGTATATAAGCAGTGGCTAAGAATAAAAGGTTGATCAATCCTGAAGTTCAGTCATCGTACCTCCACTTGGCAGCAAGATCCCCAAGGACAGAGGATATATTGTGTACCTGTCCTGTAAATCAAAGCATTTTTGTGCTTGCAAAGGCTTAAGTTCTTTGTGGTGTGTTCGGAGTGAGGCTATATGGCCGTTTTTGTTGTATGTTTATGTGGAGATTGAATATAACTGTGACCCTGTGCTTGTTTGTATACTTACTATGGTCAAACAGGGAACAGCACATTCACATAACATACTCACCTAGCACCTAACTCATAGCTGTACGTTGCAGGATCTGTACTTGTTCATGTCTCGAGCATTAACAAAGCACTAAAGTAGCTTAGTAATCATTTCCCACATTTTCTGAGCATCTAACATGACATACAGCAGCTTGCAGAGCAGCTTCAGAGAAGAAACACTTTAAATGCACAGACTCACACCAGCCACCCAATGAGCCAGTTCCTCAGTTGACTGTTTCCCTGGATGCAGCTTGGCAAGGTGAGCTAACTATTGGCAAGTTGAAGGTTAGCAGGTAAGATTGAGTTAGGGTGAGTACCTACCTATAACTGGGTGCTACTGCTATGCAGGTCTTGGCCAGGCTGCAAATATGTGTGATGATTGAGGTTAGGTCAGCTGTCAGGTTATTCAGGTATGCTCATTGCTCAGGTCACATTTTTATGGACACTTGGCAACCTAAAAAACTAACATCCTAATCTAAGCTAACCCGACTAAACCTACATAACTGCTGACTATAGGAACTAAGCACCTACCTACTTGTGCCTACATGTCATACCATGTCAAAGTAGAGTTCCTTGGTGGAAGATTACCCTCAGTACTTTTTATCCCAGCCCTGTGAAGAAAACTAATACTTCTAAGTTCTAAGCTCTGAGTCACTGCTGGCCAGCCACAGGCAGAAACGCTGAAACTGAGAGCTTTGCCATTGTATATTGGACCAACAATCACATATCACGAATGACTATGAACACATTATATGATCACACCGTTGCATGGATTGTCACATTGACAATTTTATAACAATCCTTTTTTCAAGAAATACAGTAATGATTAACCTCAAAATCAACATAAAGTGGATTTAGTGATCCAAGCTTTCTCCTCCAGTAGCAATGGAATGACTGCATGTTTCATTTGCCAGACACTGAGTACCTGATGCACATATTACAATCTGCAGTGCATAGCATCTAAGCATAGTAAAGCTGCCAAAGTCCATTCATTCTAGATTTTTAACTTGATAGTTAGCACTAATTTATCTTGCTGTTGTAAGTTATCATTCAATATTCATACCAATCCAATACATCAATATGCGCTCATCAGACAACATTTTCTGGCATGATCCTGCTCAGCGCGCTCTTCAGTATTGCTCCAAGATCTGCAATATCATAGCTTGTTTTCGGCCAATAAGCTCTTTTAATTTTACTTTTTCTTGCTGATATATGAGCCCGATCAACTTGTGTTTATCAACCAAAATTTCATAACTTCAAGTTCAACTTGATATTGATATTGTTCAGGAGTCAGGACCTCTGTCAGCTTCCTGGATACTTCGGATTGTTTTCAATCACATGCTTTTTAAATATGATATAAGTCAATCTTAAAGGATTCAAAACATCCAACAAAACGACGTACAAGAGTACGGAAACAACCAGATAAACTTAAAAAGCGCCTTGGAACAGAGCCAAGTGGTGCTCCATTTGTTTGTTTACAATGATTGTAGTGCTGATGTATTTTTAGGACTCTGAATGTCGGCTTATAAAAAATGAAACGTTTTTACAAAAGTTGTAAGGTGATTAATATTTATCTGAAAGAACTAAAATATTCAAAAGCCAAACACTACGAAATACATGAATCAGAACGAAAAAGTAACCCCAAAATCCAGCCTAATTACCGGCTCCTAAAACTGCAACAAAAGCAGCACTTTTCCCCGCAACTCGTTGTCCAGACGTAAATATGCGTTTTCACCGGCGTCCTAATCGAGGACCGGTTATGTTCACTCAATATGTCGATCTGTATTGTCGATGATGCTCGAATCATGTGGCTGTCACGTGATAAAAAAGGAACTTTTGGTCAAATTCTACCTTGTTGTTTACATAAAGATAACTGATCAATAATTAAACTGCATCAAAGTAACAAATTAACAATGATTTGCACATATTGCACTTCTCCAACTGCATTGATTGAACATCTAACACCTAAGACCACGTGACCATTTTCAGTCGGTAAGCGCCCGAAGCTACGAATCCCTAGCGGTAAAAGGCCGCACACACGTGCCCCGCGTTCGATGTCTGTCGGACGACGAAGATTCTACGCCGTCCGGCCAATCACGTTCCATAACCGCGGCCGAGCCCCCGCTGACCTTGATCGGGATTGGCCGACGACGAAGATTCTACGCCGTCCGGCCAATCACGTTCCATAACCGCGGCCGAGCCCCCGCTGACCTTGATCGGGATTGGCCGGACGACGTAGAATCTTCGTCGTCCGAGAGACATCGAACACGGGGTTGATTTGGCCGAAATCATCGTCCGTAAAGACACACCCTGCGTTCGATGTCTCTCGGACGCCGAAGATTCTACGCCGTCCGGCCAATCACGTTCCATAACCGCAGCCGAGACCCCGCTGACCTTGGACGGGATTGGCCGGACGGGGACGACGAAGATTCTACGTCGTCCGGCCCAAGATTCTTACAGATAGTCCGGCCCAAGCCCGGCCAATCCCGTCCCATAACCGTAGCCAAGCCCCGTTGACCTTGAACGGGATTTGCCGGACCAAGATTCTTACAGATACGTGCCGGACGACGTAGAATCTTCGGTCTATAGGGCCTTGGAACCTTCGTTGCCAGAGATTGGTCCGAGAGACTCCGAACGCGAGGTCAAGGCCCAGCCCGCAAGCAACCCAGGTGCCAAACCAGGTGCCAAACCGAGGCCCCTGCTCTAAGCCACAAACCACCCCACCTGACCCCAACGACCCACAGTATACTATAATACACCTCTCCCCCAAACAAAAGAAGGATCAAGGCCATCTATAGACTACACGAGAAGGCACGAGAAGAATGGAGTCGGGCTGTATTCCTGTATCCGACAAGACTAGCAAATACACAAAGGCACACTTTTTGTAATCACAAATTACTCGCCGTGCAACGAGATCGGGCGTGTGGAGCTAAAAGCGAGCAGGCCATCTGTGTTCTCGCGTCATGTGGTGAGATTCTTGAGCTGAGTGCATTATCGAACGATAACTCACTACATACAGCATGCAAAGAACAGGGGCTTCACAGAAGACAAAGGGCACTAACAGCCACCTCGGGCTCGTTTCGTCTTCCAGTCTGCATCGGGGATAAACAAAACTAACCATTAACACATTTTAAAGGTACTTATAACAAGAACAAAATACGCGACAAACTGCGAGCTAGATCACGATACGCTGATGTGCTGCAAAAGTGACATCGCATCCAAGCCTGAGCAGCACGCAAGCGAATGGTGGTGAACAGCACACTGCAGAACACGACGCCTAATCAGAGCCGTATTTGTCCGACAAAGCCGCTGATTCGCCCTCACGCAGAGGCGCAGAGTCTGTCTGTCTGTTCGGCCGTCCTAAAAATCAGACCCGGCCGGCCGCCTAGCTCTCGAAGTGGTTGTACACGGCCTCTACCAGTTCAGCCTTCTTCTTGGTGCCGACCGACTGGCCGACCGATTTGAGGAACGCCTTCAGTTCGTCCACCTTTGCCGTGTTGACCTAGAGCGGAGAACACAGTGTGTCGGTAAATGGGACGATAAGGAACGCAGTAGAACGGCGCTTGCTTACATTGAGGGAACTTTGGTGCGGGAAATAAAATGTTCGGTAACAAATGGGCGGCAGCAGAACAGATAACCGCTGGAACTTGACACCACGACAGTAGCTGCAGCAACAACACAGCAAGAACTGGCACGACAGCGACCACATCAGCATCACAGATAGGACGTCAATTTCAGTCACTGTAGGTTCACAACTCTTTTAAAATGATCGACGGAATCTAAACGTAGTACGTTAAGCTTTTGATACATGATACATGAACAATAATGCTATTCGAGACTGAGCTGCACAGGTGACCCACCAAGTCAGCCCCACTCCTACAGCCTCGCCCGCCCTCCCATTTAGCATCACCCGGTCACTCTCTCACCTTCCTCGCCTCAGCCAGCGCCTTCATGTCCACGTCGACTGGGTCGCGGCGCGCCCGCTTGGCCGCAGGAGACGGGTCCGGGTCGCCGTCCAGTGACACCAGCTCCTTGAAGTTGGCTATCAACGAACCAGCCTTCTTCTCAATGCGCTCAACGTCCGGAGCTGCCGGCGGACAGGGCGTTGAGTGGGACTGTGATGTCGTTGTGGGGCTTTAGAGAGGTAATAAATGTAGCGTTATATGTAGTTGTTTAGTGCGGTGGTGAGTCTGCTGGGTATCTTCATTATTTAGTCGAACTTCTTAGATATTGTCTCACCATTCTGGGCCGCGTACGCAGCGACTACGCTTTATTCCCATCATGACTGACTCCATTATAGGGGTGCAGTTGTTATATACAATCGTTAAAAACGATGTCTACGACGACTCTGGGACAATGCGTAACCCGCGAAGATTTGGTACTGGAAACATTTTTTTCTAGAATGGCATTCAATGGAAGTGCAATAATGCACCATAGCAGCACTCCCTGAAACTCAAGTCCGGGCAGCGGGTTCCAACAATGGTAAGCGGCTTACCCGTGTAGTCGACAAATTCGTCCGGCTGTTGTCGGTTCAGTGCGATGGCCTCGATGTTGATCCAGTGTTTCTGCAGGCTGGGGTTTTCAATCTTGTCCGGCGAGTACTTGAAGCGCAGTTTCATGACGATAGCGCGCGCCGCCTCGATCTGCTCGTCGGTAGCCCGAGTGGGTTCCGGCAGCGACAGCTGGCGAATATCGTCTGAAACACCGCGCATTATTCGTCTTAGTCAAGTGACTAGCTCACCCATAACGCATCCAACGAACTAAGTTTGTAACGACGTCGGCTTATCAGACATATCAGGTATATCGTGATTATCTGTCAGTCCTCACATCTAGGCATCGCCACACGCCGCTCACATTCCCCTAGCTAGTAGCTCCTCATCAAACATCTCAATACGACGGCAGCCGTGACCTACCTGACCCTCCGTCTGACCCTCCGTCCAACCCACCTAACCCTTTGCCTGACCCGCCTAACCCTCCACCTGACCTCTGTGACCCCGTGACGCTCCGCCTGACCTCTGTGACCCGCCTAACCCTCCGCCTGACCTGCGTGACCCCGTGACGCTCCGCCTGACCTCTGTGACCCCATGGCGCTCCGGCTCACCCGCGAACGGCAGGAAGATGACGTGGAAGCCGGGCGGCGCGATCTGCACGCCGCCCTCGGTCCGCTCCATCTGCGGCTGCAGCGCCACCAGGTGGGGCGTGTCGTTCCGACGGCTCACCAGCCGACATATGGCCACCAGACGGCGCTCCTCACAGCGGCGCAGCAGGGCCGTGAACAGCTGACGGCTGCCTGACAAAGCGGGACGTGGGAGGGAGGTAAATCATTGCGAACGGGAGCATCGAAGACGGTCAATTTGTGCCAGAAGGAGGGCTCAAACTGGTAGAGAACCGTCGTACTTAAGGAGAGATGGGTATATTCTGGTAATATGTTTTCGGTTATATTCTTTCGACCAAACCAGCTTGCTTGACAACAAAACAGATTGGATAAATGATGACACTTCAGAAATAAACTCAAGCTTCTAAATCATAAAAAAACCATTTCTTGGCAGCTGCAAATATGCCGGCTCTCGCACCCCCTATCTTATGCGTTCCACTGATGGGCCCGCACCACGCGGCCCATAAGCGAGCTGTACCTACCTTTGACGCGCGCCTCCTCCGGGTAGACGAAGCTGGCCGGCTGCACGTGCTGGAGACCGTCCAGAGTGGTTGCCGGCCGGAACCCAAGCAGTACCAGACCCGGCTCGCAAATGGTACGCATCTCTCGTACCTCGTCCTGTCAGAGGTCACGGCCAGGTCAAATCGGTAGTGAACCCTGTCAAATGTTTTAGATTTATTGTCAGCTTTCCTTTTGCTTTGCACATCTACGAACTCAAATTTTGCGATCCGCAATCCGCATCCCCCTCCCCCTATCAAGTCATGCCCTCAGGCTAAAGTTCCATCACCTGATTCCCCTCCGTATAAGCCACTCTTTCTGACTCGTCCGCCACTCTCCCTCATACCTGAGTGGTCCGTCCCCTCCGCCGTGCCGGCTGATGTCTCTACCCGCCGTCAGTCATCTCTCCCTCCCCCTACATTCCATCTCTCCCCCATCAACTCACGCTGTTGAAGGCGATCTTCTGGCCGCCGTAGGTGAGCGTGTAGTCGATCTCTGACCGCAGCAGCGGCTTACTCGTGCTCTCGTTCACCTCTGCTGCACAGCCCGTCAGCGGCGCGTTGGTGGTCTGTTCCACACGCACCGAGCTCGGCTTCGGAGTCGACCTGCCAGTGGAGCAGCAGAGGTCAATACAGAGGTCACTGGCTGAGACACAGCTAGGGTCACCACAGAGGTCAAATTTAGAGGTCACCGCCACCGTCAAATGCCACGGGTTGAAGTCACGCTTCACGCTAGGCCACATCTGATCGGTCACGCTTGGCCAATGATTTATGGTGAAGAACAGCTTTGCGATTTATTGAGAGGTGATATTATATTTTGAGGTTGGTAGCAGGTTACCTAAAGAAACAAACTGAAATGCATGGTTACATCGCTGTAAAATGTATGTATACGATTGCCACCTTCATCGAAGTGGTACCTGTCACTACCTCACGAGGTTGTAGACGCCGACCGCCAGTTTGACGCCCTCTCCCAGGATGAAGGGTATCTTGCCGATGGCGCGTTTCTTGTGCGACTTTTGGCGCACCCTGGTGAGGAGCTCGTCCAGTTTGCTGGAGACGACTGCCGTCGGCGGCGGTTCGTCTGAGTTCTCGTCAAACAGCACCTCCTGAGAGAGAACCATGGGGTGGGGGAAATTTAGAGGGCTGCCAGCTGTCGATACGCGTCTAGCCAAACACTGGACGTGGCACTAGATCAAGCTCTGCTCTGTATTCAGCCAAACCCTGAGACAGGAATAAAAAGATAGAAAAGAAAAGAAGGATAAGATAAATTTTAACGCTCTCATTTGTGTGAAGCCTCCTGCCAGTGTTCTCACCGAGTAAAAGGCATCCATGCTGAACCCTTCTCCCAGCGGAAACAGGTCTATGGTGGCCCCGCTGGAGCGCACATCCTGCACGCTCTGAAAGACGTGCCGCTTCAGCGCATCGGAGCCGGCCGCTGGCGGACGATCACGGCACGTGAACAGCAAAATACGCTTCGAGTACAGCTTCGACTTCCTGCAACAGAAACAGCACATCACATCAGAAAGAACGTCAGACGACAGCGTGCATGACGTGCATGGGCATAGCTGGTCACAGTTCAACGGTCTCCAATACTGTAGTGTTATCTACATAGTAGCCAGTAGGTAGCACGCAATTATAGTAGTAGCGGGGTTTAGAACGTCGACACAGTAATGGCATAATTGAACTGATTATTCAACTACGTAGTGCGATGTGATGCGATGGTTATCGGAGGTGTAGCCTTTGCATCGGCACCTCCTTGAGTTCTTGAACTTTTGTTTTTACTTTAATCGATGGGTTGTACATGTACTGACTTGTGCGTGGCGGCGAACATGGCGCGGCACTGGAACAGCGCGTTGACCAGTGAGAACGTGGTGCTGATGCCCACCTCCTCACGCAACTTCTCCAGCTCACCGTCACCTGAAGGGAAAACCATACAGAGTCACTGACTTCCATTCTCCCCATCCCACTGCTAAGCTTTAAGTCGTTTCTGAGCTGCCCTCTAGCTCGCCCGTTCTCTGTCCTTTGAAACAATAGTTTTTCGTGTGATGGGCCTTAACGCGTCTTTCTCGAGAGCCCTGGCCCTGATCCGCCCGGCGTCGATCTCATTTATCCAGTTCCCTGCGGTGCGTTAATCCCGTGCAACTTGTGTCGTCCATCCCGTACGCCCTGTTTTGTCTGTGCTGCAAGTCCCGATTCTGTCTGGTCCGTCAGTCTGTCCGTTACCAAGGCCATGAGGTGTGATCTCTGATCTGATAAATCACCTCCCCCGCCCATATCCCGTCCACTTCCACGTCCAATAAGTCCACCACAGCACCCCGATCCGTTCTGCCCCTCCGGCTCTCGATGCCGACTGACCATTGGTGAGTCTGTCCAGCTCCATGATACGCTGGTCGCCGGGCAGACCGAGGTCCTGTAGCACGTGCACACTTCCCCCGTCCGATCCGCCGCGGCCGCGGACCGTGCCGAACAGCACCACAGCCACACAGTCAGAGCTGGAGCTAACGATCTTGTTGACATTCATCGACCGAGCGCACTGCAGTGCAGAGAAAGCAGATGAGCTGGGGACAGGATGAGAGAAAAGGGGAAAGAGAGGAAACAGAGAAAGGAGAATCAAGAAAAATCGAGGATGGGGGACATGATAGGAGAGAAAGAGATGGAGACTGAGGAGGCAGAGCATGAAAGATGGGGATGGGAAAGAAAGATACAAAGAGACTGAGACATAGAGAAAGGGAAGTAGGAGAGGGAGATAAAAATGAAAATGAGAAGGCATCAGACAATTGAAATCAGATTCAGATCAAGCTAATTGCAATCACGGATGATAAAAATGCAAATCTTGGTAAAGGTAGGTAATAAGGTAAAGATAACAATAACATATTACTTGTTAATAATGAAAGGTTGGCATGTCTAGAGATAATCATTCAACCGTACACCCAGAGATTATGCACATGCTCTAATCTAACAACAACCAATATTATGACTTATGAGCACTTTGTGCTACTTGATTTCATCACAACACAAAAGTATGTTACCAGCAAGGCCAGCTGTAGATGGGATTCAGAGTCATCATCTGGCTTTTCAAACATTTCTTCGGTCATTTCCACCAGAAATATAGCACCATCCCTGCCAGAAAATGTGTTATCTTGCACATCTCCTTCTTCATTGAGGTCATCATCATCTTGGTTGTAGTTATCCATTTTGAAGCTGAAAAATGTGCACAGGCTTACATGGGTCCTTAAAATTGATATGCAGAAAAGAAGGACAAAATCATCACAGTCCATCAATTTACCACTCCTACCACTTACCAGACCTTTTGGAAGCAACCTGCTCTTCTATTTTTTTAATTTCCTATAACTTCCCATTTTTTAATCATTCGTTTTTCATTTATCTGATAACCAATTCAAATTCTAAGTCGAAGCGGGCATTACGATCCACAACAACAAGCAGGCGATGTTGGAGTGTTTGAACGGCAAGGCCTAAGTATTCTGTTGCTTGTTTGTTGGGGTTCATGGCCCAGGGGTGAATCGACAGCAGGGCAATAGGGACTCAAAAATGGCATCCTTTGCTTGACAGCAGGGCAATAGGGACTCAAAAATGGCATCCTTTGCTCGAGCATTTGTGTGGGTCAGGTCAAAATGGTATTAATACCTACCTATGCCTTTGAATTATTGATTTGGGTTAAGCACCATTTCTGGTGGACCAAGGTGCTAACCGGAGCTCTCACGCTGTTCCAAGTGGTCAGGCAGCAGCAATGCCACGTGCATTGCCGGGAATTCAAACCCAGATGGCTGAATCTAGAGGCAAGGAACTAACCCTTTGACCAGAATTGGAATGCTCCCCTTATGCTTTCCAGACAAGTTGAAGTGGTTAACCCTAAAAATTATGGTGGTAACAAGCAAAAAAGGCTGAAACAGTTATTAAATTGAAACTAAATGTAATGATGAAGGAGAGAAAAATTGGAAAATATTTGCCACCCACCCTCTATGACACACCTTATGATGACTATCACCCTCTTCTGACACAAGTCGGTTCTAAAACGAGTGTCAACAAGCCAAAATCGCAATTCAATCAGTTTCGCTGTTCAGTTTATTGGAGAAAGCAGTCACGAACAGAAAACGGGTCAATGGTACTCATGGATTGCGCTGTTTTTGATAAGGTTTTCTCACTGATTCTGCTAGTGAACAAAATCTAAGCCCCAATTTTGCTACAGATATTGGTTTGTGTAAGACATTTAAAAGTGAGGTTTGAATATCTTGATTTTTATTTGACGTCATAGGTTTTTATCAAAACTTAAAACCAGTCTCGAAAAAGCAATTTTTATTAGCGGATCAAATGCAAAAGTTTTCAAAACCTGTGACGTCACATTAGACTATGAAATTGTCAAGAATTATCGAAATCGAAATTATCGAACTGAGGCCTCATGATAATTGGCTCTCTCTATCGTCTGGAGGTTTCGAAAGATGCTCTCCAGAGATGGCGCTAGTAAATTTGGCTGACATGACGTCATGCTTAAAAGTGATGAGTTTTGTGAGAGCAAATGTAATAATAGTTGAAAATTTTGTACTTTCGCTTAATTGAGAAAAAATTAATATACGATTGTTCAAAACAGCGTTTTTCTCATTCATCCTTCATTGTTTTAAGAGGAATATAGACAGTTAAATTCTTTTTTCTTGACCGCAATTCGCACACGCACTAAATTAAAAGCTGGAGTTTTGTGCGTTCGTAAATCGTGATTTGAGAAAATAAATTGACAATAATCTTTTGCACTTTTGCTTTACAATCAGTTTTCAATGCAGATAAATGCATAAATCATTCGAAAATAGGCATATCTTTGAAATATTATGATTTTCCACAAGCAAATTTTTCCAAAAACTTGAACTACTTACAACTGACGAACGCATCCAATAATCTGGATGTCTTAGGATGAGTTCGTCATTTTTTCCCAAGGAAATACGATACAGTTTAAGCTACTTTACCGATTTATTAGGGTACTTTTGCTAATGAATTGATAAATAAATGACAACAATTAATCTCATTATCAACCATACTCGGAAGAATTTTCTTCGCATAAGCGCGAACACATCCGCGTTTTCATGAAAAGTAGCGCCTGCAGATGTCAGGACTGCTGCTTTATGTTTCGCAAGGTGGCGCAGCGCGCAGGGTACCGACTACCGAGGCTGAGGTCTCCAGACTCTCCACCACGATTTAGCTTGGAAATGGCCAATGGGGAAGGTCTCACCCCAAAAAACGGACGCCCTTTTACACAGCTGCATAACGAGAATGAATTATTGGCATAGCTGACCATACGTCCCCTCCCCCTCTCCGCCCCAGCTCAATTGAAAATATCGCCTATTTTCCTTAGTCAGTTATATTCTGACTAATTTCTCACTCTTCCCAGTAAACCTTAAAATGCATGACGCAGATGTCCACTGCGTAAGTCGTGTGCTTGCGTAAGTGTGCCAACTATATAGTGTTGCCTACACTCTACAGTGCCTACTGCTTCCACCGTTGTTATAATTGGTGATTCTCAGGTCAAAAGTTACACAGTGGTCTCAGAGAACAATCGTTTCAACAAATTAACGATTCAAACCGTTGCATTCTACTTATATTCCGGTCAGTTCTGCTACTAAACGATTCCGGCAAAACACTCTTTAGGTTATGTATTAGCGAACCACCACACAAAATTCGCCCAATCAATGGTCAGTTATTACTGCTGGGCTGAACCGTCATACGCTATATAGCCTATTGCAGTCAATATTTTCAGAACGATACCGACTGACGAAATACAACGTATTCGCGGATTCGCACATACGTTGGCACCCAGGTGGCCTGTCAGCAGCCGCACAAATTGAGATGGTACACCGTAAAGCATGCCTTTCCACACAGGCACAAGCACAGGGACACAAATTCTCAAAATCCAAACTTATTCTAACACTGGTCAAATACTAATAGGCATAAAGTTTTGAGGTTTTCTCATGTTCATTCTTCTTTCAACACACGCGGCAGACTGCAGCAGAACATCTCACAGAGCTGCGCTGGATGCAGTCATGAGCTGGGACACGGTTTGTGACCAATGACCGATCGGGGGTGCCAGCCTCCTCCCGGCACGCGATGCACTGGCCGCCGCGCAGTCGATGTCGGGGCACCGCCGGCATTCGCCGACAGGGTTCCATCCGATTCGGTATATTGGTGGCAGCCCGAACAGTGACCCACGCGAAGCTGGTGGACGTCGATGGCCGATGAGCGATGCCCTTCCGCGACCGGCGGTGGCAGTCGGTCCCACATCAAGAACAGATACCAGTCATGCGGTCAGTCGGCGACGGCGCGGTCGCGAGCCGATCTGATGGTCGCGTGGTGGGCGTTGCCGACGTCCACCGGGACCGTCGACTGGGAGAGCGCGGCCGCCTCTTGGCCGCCGCCTCTGGTCGGCGCGCTCGTTGCGCTGTGGGACGGCATCCACATCTGCAAGTCGTTCACTGTGAAGCGGTCGTTTGACCGGACCTGGCAGGCGGGGAAAGGGGGCCTCAGCTGAAGTAAAACCATCCCTCAGGCCAGGTTGAGCTGGCTCTCCACCTCACCATGTTAGATAAGCGGACACCCTCGTGATCATCGCAGCGATGATTGCCAATTGGTGTGTCATTATGGGAGAGGATGCCAGCCTCCTTTGCAAGATAGTCTGCCTTTAATATAGTGCAGCCCGACCCATTGCCTGTGGCAGCAGACTGGGCTTGATAATGCAGTGCAGGACACACCAAAGTAAGCGGCCATCTGTACCCCCTGTGCAGTAGGGCTGACTCAAGAGCCCAGAGTTGCCCTCCCCCCACCATTCTGTGCACGTGATAACTGGATGGGACATGCCATGATCAGCATCTGTTCAAAAGCTGCCCTAAGCATGTAAAGCTCCACTGGCATGCTCAAGCATGGTCACAGTCAGTTCTCACTTCTCAGTTGAACCTCCAATGGAAACCCATCACAAAGTAGAGATCAGGGCGCCTCTCACACTGCAGCACACTCAACGACTGAGGCACCATCTCATCACTTGCAGGTGGTTCTTGCCAGGAGCAATGCCAGCCACGCACATCAGGTGATAACAGCAGTGTACAACTGCAATCTACAAGCATCCATGTTCTTTCTGGTTTTCTCCTGTTGAGATCCACTGCCATGCATGAACTTGATGGGCTTTTGTTGCACTCCTCCCATGTGCAGACAGGTTTCTGCTGAAACAAAGCAAACAAATGTGATTAATAATGGCCCTGTTTCACCATCCAGACACTGTGTGCACTGGTAGCTACGGCATACCATAGCATCACTCCAATGACGTTGCATGTGATCTCTTAGTTTATGATGAATCGTGTTTGGAACAGAGTGAGAGGTTCTGAAAAACCGTACCAAAAACAGAGGTTTGAGTTCAAATACTGCTAGCATGCTGCTGGTGCTGGTACCGCAGCGTGCTAACGTTCTGGGATGCTGTCATAGCTTAGCGTCACAGTGAAGTTTGTCGACACTGCCATGGAAACCCAATGGTCTGACACACGCAGCGCACTGCAGTGCTCTGCCATGAAACACCACCCATGAACGTTGGTTGCATGACCAGGATCGAAGCAGTGTGGCAGACAGTGATTTTAATTTTAATTGCACTTACTAGAGATTAACAAGTTGTTGGTGAAATTGCTATTCATTATTCCTATTACCATTGTCTAAATTTCACATTTCAAGACAGCATCAGCATCGACATGTTATATAAATAAGGTTTAGACTTCAGGTGGCCCCGGGTTCCCCGGGTTTTTGCCCGTAGAACAAGGGCAAAAAGTTGTCAAAAAAATATTTTAAAAAATACCTGCCTTTATCAACACCTCATCTACTAAAATCACATATCTCAATACAATCAAACAGAGATGGGTTAAACAACAAGGCCCTAAAAGCAAAAACCGTTTGAATAACAATGTGATTTTTTGCAACCGCTGCACCATTACTGTCACGTACGCTATCCCTAGATTGGTTGCTGGTAAGTAGTGGTTGTCGTCATCAACTCGTCATACAGCAGCTGATTGGGATGGGCGGGGCCTATTTTTATCCAGGCGATAGAGAGAGCCTGATAATTTGCCGCTACATCTATTTCCAAGGCCATAGATCTATTTCACTTTTGGAACGATGGAGGTGGGGTGTGGTTTGCATCATGGACCAATGAAGCCTTTAGTCCATGGTTTGCATATGCCTTGTTTCATGAAACAGAGTAAAAAATGATCATCATTTCACTTGGATATCATATTCCACCTAAAGTCACAAACTGGAATACTGCAAATACAACCTAACTATAAAGTTTGCTATCAATATGCCGCATGCCCAGACTGAAGAAGTACATGTTATGCTGAATATGTCCATCGTAGTGACAGGATTGCGCAAAAAATGCCAGTGTACATACTTTGCACATTTCGAACTCAGCGCATGGCGACCGCGGAATTTTTATGAGCAGGAAGGCTGCATAATTTTTTGGCAAAAGACTGCCACTGAATTAAATCGGCACACTGGTCAATCTATCAGCAGATTCGCCGTGCGGGCGGCTCTGGGGTGGTTTAGGGATGAGTCCCTACCCCGGTTGTCGCATGCTCAAACTGGCGAGCCGCCCTGAGTATTTGCACTTAGGGGAGGAGCGGCCGCCCAGGTGAGGCCTCAGCCCTTGGCGTGGAGATAAATATGGAAGACCTTGTTGAACTTTGCCGAGCATCGTTAAGTAATACTGAGGTGGATTCCTGCCCACTACGGTATCAAGGGGAATGAGGGTGCAGACAACCTGATGAAACAAGCGGCCGCCCTGCCCTCAAACGCCCGCTCGCTAACCAGGGTGGTGCATTGTGCGGCCTCGCATTAATTGCGCGATGACTGGTCCGAATCACTATCCAAGCCACTCCTCGGGAGCACGCCGCCGCTCCCCATCCCCGGAGAGGACCGATAGGACGCCGTTTCGGTGCACCAGATGAGGGCGGGCCACTGGGGCCGCTCGCTCCAGTACGTGCACCGAATCGGCTGTCTCCACTCCGCGACATGCCAGCAGTGCC